GGTTGAGTGTTCATATGTGAGATAGGCCAACCCCTCTTGAAGATGGAAATTCAGTGGGATTTATTCACCTACTGCCAAGTCATTTACAGCTACATTGCTCCTGTTTTATTCTATTTTCAAAAGAATGAAGCTCACCCAAGATTGCTTGGGTTGGGAAAATGTCTTGTGAGAGTGTTCCAGCAGGCTGACTCAAAATTATTCCACAGTTAGTCAGTTTCAGCTATGTATTTCAAGGGCACTTATATTTTCTTATTTGGTAATGGATCTTATTTTCTACATCTACTTCTAGATCTTACTTTCTTTTTACAGATCTTATATCATACTTTTGGTAACAATTCTTATTTTCAGAATATTATAATATCTAAGTACTGCTAATATTGAATTACACCAGTTATGAGTCTGTAAAAGCATGTGACCTGCATAATTGTTCACAGTGCATCTGGTTGCATAACTATAATGGTTATTTGCTAATTGATATTTAATTATTTGTGGAAGGTCATTACATGTTAAAAGATTTATATCAAACTCAACCTTTTCTGAGAAAAAAGTTCTGAGAAGTGAGCAACTGAGAAATTCAATGAAACAGTAAAACAAACAAGTCAAATGAGACATGCTTGGCTACAGTATAAGGAATTGAAAGTGGGTGAAGCAGGTGGATTCCAATGTGAATCTGAATGGAACAAGGAGGACATGATGCTGCTGAATGCATTCTAAAGAGATACCAGAGAGCTTAAGCTGGTAAGCTAACCTCTTTGTTGAAGAGAAGAAATCTGCAGACTGAGACATATCATGTTCACATGATGAATTCATTTGATTCAGCCCTTCACTGGGTGTCATGTGCTCAAAACAAATGTCTCTTGGTCACGTCAGGTCAGGACATTCGCCTAGTTTCACATATTTCTTGCAAACCAGCATTGATGAGCAACTGGGAATGGGAGCACCTAATAAAATGGATAAAATATTCAATTTTTCTCCTTAAACAATGGGTAAAAAAAACTCATTATACCAAGCGAATACTGTATCTAAGTGCATTATCATTGAAACAATCCTAACTAAACTCACAGCTCACTGGACTAGTTATAAATTTCACAGTTAAGCCGATAATTTTTTTAAATTAGAGTTCAAGCACCTTACAAAAGGAGAACAGTTAATTTTAGTGTAAGTGCAGTGAATGACATTTCTTCCAGAATGTATGGCCACAGCCATACAGTAAGTCAATCTAGGCCTGGACCTATGGTGTAATGAATGTAGGTGTATGTAGATCACATTTCATATGGTTGAGCGAGTACCCATGAAAAAATTACGCTTCGCACAGGCCAGACGTGACATAACGAATACGTGATAGAACAGAACGCGTGCAGTCAGTGACAACTAACTCAGCCTAACTTTCTGCAAATACTTGCATTTCCTCCAAATTTATTTAGGTATCATCAATTTACTGGCTATTTACGCCTCACATCGACTGCCTAAGCCAAATGCAGAGCCCATCATGGACCAACCGGAACCAATTTACGCCTGAAGACGTGAGAACCACGTGGAGCGCCATTATCAGTGATATCTCCGTCGTTAATTCTTGTGTTGCCGAGCGTGTCTACAGTCCATTATGCGTGGCCTGTCTTGCCTCATACCAAAAACGTAGCAAAGAAGATATATATGATATGCTGTGAGCGAAAAATTCAGGTTACTCGGTTCATTCGGTCAAATCGGTGATGTGGCCCAGTGGCGTACCGATCCGACAGAATAAGGTCTGATATCTGGCAACCGTGGTGATGAGGCCTGGATGAAGCGAACTTGGGGTTGGGTACAAAAAAAAAAAAAGTGAGAGAACACCAGTCGAGAATTCGATTGGATATTCTCTTCAAGTTCATCATTCAGGCGAATTCCTGTTAATTGCAGGAACCAACTTTGCCAATAATTTTCTGCATTTATTTCTCAAAGTATGAGAGCATCGTTCCCATTCTTGAAAAGCTTACGGGAACGCCTTTCTTACCTATTCCCAACTGATTTTATCACGAGACTCGACAGCTCCATCACACTTTTGCGCATATTTTTGCCAGCTTGGGCGATCGGCAGACGGCATCTTCTCTCCCCATCTGAGAAGGGAAGATGAGAAAATTCAATTTGCTGTTGTGTTTCGCGGGAATTCCCCCGAGTTTAATGAAGTGTCCTCTCCACCAGAAGTCTACCTTATTTTGCACGACGACCTTGGGCCTCGTAGAGGGATTTCATCACGGTGATGCCCCTTCTCTTCTTCCATTCAAACTCGAACATCAAATAATGATTCCCATCGAGGCGGGCCGAGTTTCCCACGATCAGACGATTCTAAATAAGAACGGGCAAATATGAGTCTTCCCACTCAGTTGAAGAAGGATTTTTCTTCTGAAAGACGCCAATGGGGCCTAAATTCATGAGACATTGTACCTTTCCCCGTCAAAATCTTGCGAGAAAAACACTTTCCGAAGATTTGCTTATTAGAAAAGGATAAGACTTTCCCTGACAAAAAGCAGGGATTCTTGCCTCTTCAAAGGAAGAAATAAAGAAGCATGTTCCATCTCTGACTCTCCACAACTGATGATTCTCTTCCTTCGCTCTTCAATCAATCGGTCGGCAGTCGGCCTCGGGTTACCTGGCTTTCCGCTGACAGATTAATTGTCCTCCTCGCGTCTCTTTTCAGGTGACCTTATTTGACTCCAAGGCTGAGAATTGATTTCCATTTCCTTATCGGAGTTTCGTCCAATCTCATCCCGCACCTGACGTACGTAGCAGTTCCTGCGTCCTGTCACCGAGAGAATATCTGCTGGTGTCTAGCGACGATGTGCCCTAATTGAGCCTTTAAGGGTTCAATTAAGTTCCTCCTAGTTGAAACTCTTCGCCTCCATTTCGCATTTCTTACGAATAACGCAACAAGCATACAAGTTGAGTTTACGCACCGTCTCAGAGGTCGTTCACCGACTGAATAGATGAAATGAAAATATCGAAGGAAGTGCTCCTATGCAGAAAAACCTTTAAAGACCCTTTAAAATGACATTTCTTCAATTTCAATAAGTGCCAAGAGCTTCTGTAATCCCCATTAAATCCTGCTAGGGACATAGGCATTTTCATGTCTAGTTCTTTCTTAAAATTGATTTTTTGCCAAGCACCCCTTCCCCCCCGCAGGGTCATTTCACACAGCTGCTAAACTGGGAAGGTAAGCCATATTTACCGGAAATCAGTCCTTTTCTACCTCTGCTTACAACCATTACAGAGTTGTGAACCGGAAGATCCCAAAGGGGGGCGAATCCAACTGTACCTCATTTGCTCTAATCACTCCGCTAGTTTTTGCCCTAGAATGAGCAGTATGGCGAGAAGTAACGAGATCCCGTGACAAAACTGGAATATCTAAGCACTGGAACGATTAATACGGAGCTTGGTAGTCGTGGAGAAAAGAGTGTGCAGATTCTACGGTGTCGAAGTCTCTATCCAATTAATGGATAGAGACTTCGGGGAATGTACAGGGTGCGGCAAAATTGTGGGAACACGACCCCCAACCACGGTGAAAAGACCAATCACTCAGTAAATATCTTCATTCCGCCTCAGCCCAATATAGTCTACTCAATTACTGGAGGGGAACGTAGCTAATTGCGAACGTCAGCTGCAGGAAAGTCGTCCACGGCACGGTCGATGAAAACTTTAAAAATGTTTGGTAAGGAAGTCGTGTTCCCGTAATTTTGCCGCACCCTGTATTAATCTTTCTCAAGTCTTAAGCAGAATATGCGTAACTATTCGTAGGAAAATTCACATAGGATGTTACTGACCAAACAGCAGGGATCACAAAAACTTTGTGTGGTGCGGACTATGTGGTACACGTGTTAGGTTCGCTTTTCTTTGAGGGAAACTTTAAATGGTGAGCGATACCTGAACATGTTAAGAAATGAATTAATGCCACAACTAGATGGACTCTGAGAGGGTCTACCAAAGTGGTGCCAGCAAGATGGTGCATCCCCTCGTCATGCATTACCCATTCGTGATTGGCTTGATGAGAACTTCCCAGGACGATTGATGGTCAGGCGCGGCTCCACATTCACCGGGTCTCACTCCGATCCACTATTTCTTATAGGGGTTGCTTATGTAGAGGTGTACCGTGGAAAAATTAGGTAGCGACCACCTTCGAGAGGGGATCACATGCATTTGTGCATCCATTGATGGCGATGAGAGCTTGTTCCAAAGGGTTCACAGGAGTATGAAATACTGACTGCAAGCGTGTTTGGAACCGAATGGGGAACATTAAAAAAAATTAGGTTTGCTTGCACAAAAAAATGCAGTTCCCAATAGGTCGAGACTTTTCGGACACCTTGTAGATAACTGGCTACAAACGAACGAGGGTCGGGATTATGCGTTGCAAAGGGCTGCATCACATATTTCTTACCATCAAGGACAGTCTAACCGCATTAACAGCCATGAGCGTAAAATATAAATGATATATGAGAGCGTGAGCCAGAATTCGAAAACAGTGCCGTAGATAAGCAGATGCGTCCCATCATCTCGCTTTCCGTATAATGAAAAAAATTCTATCAGCAGTTTTTGAGCAAGAGAACTTTGCTTCACGAACTTTCATCATTAAGGAGCTTTTGAAGGGCTCCCGAGGAACTCCCAGTGTGCCCGCACTCGGTAGCAGACAGATACGACACACTAGTAGCGAGAAAAGTCCAGCTTTGTCTGTCCCTACTTATCACCGTACAAGTTCAGTGAACGTGCCGTGGCTGTCAGAAGCCCAGTTTTTAATTGTATTCACTCCATTGTTATTTCGACACGAGTGGCTTTCTTTTTACGAACTCACTTCGTAAGTAGATGATTTTTGGAAAGAGAGCACTGCGTAATATTTACGAATCTTTAATAAATACGCCCCTCATTTTCTTTTTCCATCTTCCCCAGTTCTATATCGAACACATTTTAAAAATTATCCCATCAGGTCTTTGATGCAGAGGCCCATCTACCGCATTTGAAGAACGACGATTCAGACTGGACAAAATCTCATATATTTAGAAAACGTGGTTGATGCAACAAAAAAGGAAACCGATCGAGAGACATCATACGAGACATTGACACTTCATCAGTGACATGACCAACAACTCTTCAAATGCCACACTATTCAGCTACCATCAATCAAAAAAAAAAAAAACAATTCTTGCCTAACTTTGTGAACCTCACAATCAAACACAATGTTCCTAAGATCTAGGAGACAAAAACTGAATAAAAAAATCACAGACTCCATGTAGACGGGAGGAGGGAAAAAAATCAAGATTGCACTTGTCCAAAGAATTTGTTTGGACTTCACACTTCCCTCAGACTCCTCAAACATATTTAATTAAAGTGTTCCTCTAATACAAGGAAGGTTCAGGAGCTATAGCATCACTTCTATACCTCCATGAACACTGAATAAATTACACACGTACACAGGTTATGACTTTGTTGTCAGAGGAAGCAAATATATACAGAATAACCTGAATTTATTCCATCCACACTTTTTTATCCTTATTATAAGACTGTGATGTCTTTGCATTGACATTCATCAAGAAGTGGAGAGGCTTGGAGGAATAAGCAGTCGTCAAACCAAACAAAAAAGATTCCCATTTCTACTCTTTGGTATATGGTGACCTGATGCAAATATAGAGGACAATACAACACATGAACTTGAGGAGCTGGATGATAAGACCATTTGAAAAATACCCTCATGATAAAAAAATTTTCTGAGAACTCTGTTACACCTTTTGTGCTGACCATATTTGTTTTCTTTGTTTCTCCCTGGCACTTCAAAACAATATCCCCTTTCTCTTGCAGACCTACAAGACCATCAGACAGCTAGAACAAAGTCAACACTGAAGTGACCGTTGAGGTTAGACACAGAGGGCTCAAAACCAACACAATAATTACAATAATTATGGTGAAATGTATGGCAGATAACGAATGATACAATAAACATGCACTTGACAAGACTGGCAAACCACTAGAATAAGATGCGGGAGAACACAGGAGCAGGGCTACGTGGAGGATGAGGAAGGAGTGGTGGCAGACAATGTGGGGGCAGCAGATGATGACGTATGGGGGGTGGAGGTGCTGGTCACCACAGTTATAGTTGTTACTCCTTCACCAGAACCACCTCCTCCCTCTTCATCATCCTCCTCTTCCACTGCATCTACTGGCATGATCTGCCACCAAAAAATTAAAAAAGAAGCCACATTGAGTCTGATATTACCTCCAGTCAGCACTCAGCGAAAGTCCAGATCTCAGCATATTTTTAAAAAAGTTCACAAAACCTAAGGCATCAACCATATTTGTCTGAGCTTTCATCCATGTGAGGGATGACATCAAACCAAGCACAATGAAATTCTACTGTGCCATGTCAGTAACTGATACTGAGCTAGCAATGCAAAAGTGAGAATAAGAGAAAAACTGAAACACATGACCACAGTGTGAATCACACTATTTCCAATATTACTTTCTGATCCTCTAGTAGAAAGGATCCCAGGAATACTTAGTGCTTCAGGCTTTGTAACTACAAAATCAACATGGGGGCTCCTTGTTTTGGGTTGAATGGACCCATTCAATGGATCTTACTTTCAATTAGTTTCATTTCTCTCCATGAAGACTTGTATAAAGATGCAATGGCAACTGTATTGTTGTATGCCATGCAATTCTTTTATGAAAAAAAAAAAATCCTAGAGGCCTCATACAAAACAATAAGAAACAATTCTTGTCGGGGAAATTTTTTCTTTCAGTTGACCATGATAATCATGACATTATTGCAATTTATTAGACTGCAATTTAGTTGATTAAATAAGATTAAAACCAAAATTCATTACCCTACAAGAATTGATACAGGTTCTGAGACTGGCATATTTGAACCACCCAGGTAAGAAATGCAAGGCAGGATGGTTGCAAGACCTCAGACAAAAAGCCAATGTCAGGTTCTAACCAATAAGAGTGAAAAATCAATTCCTCTCATTGCCAGTTTCTCATTCCTTAATATTTTAAAATTCTTTTTAAAAAAATTTTTAGGAAAAAAAAAAGAATGATTTAGATTTAAATGTTTTTGAAACACTCAAGGAATGGATTTCAATGGCTTCCAGTGGTAACTTCTCTGAACTCTCTAACATCCAAAATGAACTGTCTTCAAGGCACATTTATCAAAAGAGTGAATAATGTTAAGTGGGCAGAGGTTACAACCAAAAGAGGAAGGCCTTCAATATTACACTTGCAAATACAACCCTTAGTTTATCATCTCACTCAAATGATCTCTGGAAACAAACTGAAAAACAAAAACAGGACAGTAGCTTCTTCCACTACTGCTGCTTCCAACAGCAGTGTAAAAAGCTTGGTTTCATGCTTTCACCAAATTGGCAAAATCTCTCAGAAAGGAAAAACTCTCATGCTTGGGGGTGTGCAAGTCAAGAAGACTATTTAAAGTAGCTGACAAATGGAAGCTTCTAATTGGAAGAAGAATTTACTATGGTCTTAAAATAGTTTCAACAGCTGGCTATTTGACCATCCTACCCATTTACTTGCACATAATTGGGACTTAAATTAGGTCAAGATTAGAACCATAATGATCTCTCACCATTAGTGACATCAATGGTTTTCACATGTATCACAATGTATTTGCAGACAAAACAAGGGAAGCACCATTATCAAAACTTGTGAGTGCTTAAGGGACAATGGAACTCCACAGAGCCAGGTAACTGAGAAAGAGAGATAAAAAAAAAAAGAGTAAAAGGCCAAAATAGTGCAAGACACCAGTTGGGATTCACAAAGCTCTTGTTAAACCAAGATAATTTGAGCAAAAATTATAAGGGAGGGCCAAATGAAACCTTGAGAGAATTTTCTACCCTGTCCCACTGACCTAATTCAATTTATTTCATTGAAGCATGTAGACTTACATGTACTTCTGTAATTTGTGACATATGAGGTATGCATTTATGTAACATATGGTAGAAGCACCCTCAGCATGGCCTAGTGCAGTTTTTGACAGCTGATAGAATCTACCACAGAATTATCTCTGTATGTGGCAAAAAAAACTGTCCAATTCCACCCAGTGGTTGGAGATAAATATTCCCACAAATATAAACATTTTTGCATCCATCTTTTGGCACGGAACTACGACTTGTGTTCACTGCTGTGGTGAGAGCTTTCAGAGATACACACATTCTCTCTAATCAGCCAGTCCACCATCACTACCATCACTATGGTCTCCACAGCAATGACAACATTTGACAGTCCAGGGTGTGGATCACACCAATATTGGACCAACCCTTTGTGGATAAATTTGCACCATTCACCCACTGTGGATTTGGAAATATTGTAGCAGCCATATACACAGATCATTTTGTGTGATCATTCTTTAGTGGGGTCCCTTTACCCATAAAAAACTGCATTACTCTGCACTGAATTTCTTTGAACACACTTTTGAAATAGAATGCCATTTTGTTGAAGGTGCTGCCACCACATATGAGATAAATACACACCTTGTGTTACACATGGATGAGCAAGTCCATGTGCTTATGGGAAATAATTTGGTTTAAGGTTGGTGGAACAGAGTGAAAAAATATTATATTTGGGCTTTGTTTGACCCTCCCTAGTGTATGTCTGCTTCTTGAATCCCCACCCAGTCTCTTCTCTTCCACACATCTACAGTGGTTTCTGGCTCTCTCTCTCTCTACAAAAGACCATGGCATAAAACAGACCATTAATCGGGCAAGGTAGATATCCTTGTCTAAGGCATTTTCAGCTCTTCTCTTCTTCAACTGCTAACTGTTCATCAATATATTTTGTCTATGTATTGATGCAATGCACCATGATTGGTTTGGGCAGATATACTGATGTTTTCAGAATAGCCCTTCAACAACCCTAGAAGAGACTGCATGTCTGCAAGATTCATACTACTCCCCATAACAGGAGATATTGACTTGACAGAATGAGACGGAAGATAGGTGAAACAGGCAACCATGTGCAAGGGGTTCAAGTGCAACAAAGTATCAAGAATACTAGCAGTGATTGTTGCAGATATGGGTACATAGGAACACTCCTTTGTTTGAACAATCCTCACCTCCTGAGAAGTTTGATGAAAGTTTGCATGCAAATCCAAGAGGGGAAACATTGTATATAGGCCTATTTTACCTAAATCTTGGTTTAAAAATTATTCCATCTAGCAAATATGGGCAAGAAAGAAAGAATCACTTCCCTCTGCAATCATGTTCCAAGGGAAAAGAGATACATAGGAAGATGCAGATGTGGCCTTACCTCACTCTGTCGCATGGCCTCCTGCATCCCAGAGGAAGCAAGCAAGGGAAATATGAAGGACAAAAGCCACATGAATACAGATGCTAGAGATCCTTCTCCTTAACCCTTCAAGCACTGAGTTCTGACCTGACCTCCTAAGTGATGAACGTAAGGTGTACGTGAAAACTGCTTGAAGGGTTAAGAAACTCAAGTGGTATGTAGAAATGCAAGAAAAGACCTCCACCAAGTGTTACGGAAGTCTAGGAAGAGAGAAAGCTGACCTGGAGAACACTGGCTGCTGATGATGGTGTGCGTGTGATAGTAATTTCTGGTTCCTTGGAGCCAAGCGTGTGCTTGGATGGCCGCATGTCCATAGAGGTATCCATCTGTGCCTCCATGCTTCCCGTTAGATCCTCACTTCCTCGACTTTCACCAGGTGAGGCCTGGCTGCTTCCAGTCACACGTATGATCACTGGATCCCCACCATCCATACTGTCTGAATTTGGCTCCACTTTGGGGAACGTCACAAATGGACTCACCATCTATTGTTTGGAATAACAAATAAAAATTTTTCTGTTGTCAGAGTTATTATTTTAGAAAAATTTCAACTCCTCAATCATCTGTTCATCCTTCAAATTATGACTGCTGCTTCTGCTGATGCAAAACCTAGACCTAAACAATGCTGATGAAGAATAACAAGAACCATAAAGTCATTTGTAGGCTAGTTAGATAATTTAGAAAAATCAGTTTTTTGCTCTCCATGATGTAGAGATGCTGACAAAGCATGACAACTACTCTGTCAGTGCCAAAATGGAAATGGGGAGGGTTCTTTGCTCATAGTCTTATGATTTCAAAACCTGAGGTCTGGCTGTATCACCAGTTGAGACTCAAAACCTCACATTGAGATAGGAACATTTGAGTAGAGTTGGCTAAAAATGGCAAGGCCTAGAAGGTATTCATGTACCACAACAATAATTTCATGCTTATTGACTTGATAATCTGATCCTGAAGATGGTCAATACAAAAGTAACAGTCAAAGTATTTTCACTATGGACTTTCATTAGGGTCTGTAATTGGGGGCAGGGGTCAAACTTGACCCACCTTACTTCAGAACCAAGGTTACTAATACAAGAACTGCAGGTCAAAAATACACTGTTTTCGGATTGAATTGGAACCCCCCCCCCCCAGGAGCGCTTCCATCAAGTACAGGCAGGACACCTACACCTACCTTCCACTTCATAATTATCTTAGTAGGTTGTTGGTACACCTCGTAGTCCGAACTGTAGAACTCCTAACAGACCTTTCGAACACAATTCACCGTTCTCCACAGTAGGGGGGTACCAATTCCATCCGAAAACAGTGTAGTTAAATATTTGTTTCACTTGATAAGTATAGTTCACCAGATCCATACCAAGTGATATCACAACAATGACTTCCAGCAACAAGGATTAGCATGCAGGACCTTCACATTTGCAACTTCTGCATTGCTTAAGTCATAGGCAGACAAAAATTATCTATTCATCCCTCAACAAGTTTCAATCGTGTTTAGGTTTGGTTGGGAAGCCAGGAGGAACTGCTAAAATTCAAATTAAAAATAATGCAAGTTTACAATACCTTAAGTTATGCTCTAAATGGAGCACTTCAATTCACATGCATGATGTAAACAAAATATTTCTGAAATAAAATGGTGACAGCATCAACCTGGGAATCTGGAACTACTAAGAAAGTAAAACTGAAACACTTGGTACATCCACCTTTCCAAAAGAGAGAAAGCAATCTTCCCATTTTTGCTTGCACGTGGCTCAGGAATGAAAAAAAAAAAAGAGAAAGGGTATGGCTAGAATTCAAACCACCCCCTAAAACTATGGAGCAGTCATCAAAAACACTAACTTTCTGTGCAAATTGCATATCAAAACTTGCATAATTCATATTTCTAGTATTGCACAGGTCAAGTCCAGTTTCCAATCTATGATTCAACACCAAGAGAGACTTAGAAGTAACCACAAATCATCACAAATATTACAACCTTCACAGGCATGAAGGTTCTTAACACATTTGTTGCCATACTATTAGCTGTTTTCATGCAGTCTTCCTAATAGTTACTTATTTCTTCAAGAGATGTCATTCAAATATCTCCTAGCCTACAAGGGTTGCATACAATATACCACACCCTTAAATATTACTAAAGGTATGTTAACAATTTTCATTCATTTAAATCTCTGGCAGTGAATATGTTAAAGAAAACCATGCATACTTGACACAAGCCAATTGGGAGAGCAACACACCTGACCAGACTGCATATTGGCGACTACTGTCTGATACATAGACACCGGGACTGGGACTGTGATCATACCCGACACCACTGGAAATGCTATGAGAAAACACAATCAAATGTCTTTATTCATAACATACTATACAGCAGAAAGAACTACAGTTATTTTGTAATATTTACAACTGATGATATACAGGGGAGGCTGCAATGAATCACTGAACCTATGAAAAGCCTTGTAAGGAATTGTAAGCAAACCAGTTGGATGTATTCTTTCTTGGGATAAAAAAGATATGAAGGCCTCACTTTGCCCATCTTCTCCTGTGAGGATGATTTGGCCATCCTGGTTGATGGTGGCCTCAGCTGTGGATAAGGTAACTGTGCCTGCACTTGCAATGCCTCCCTCACCGGGCTCAATAGTTATCCCTTCTGATGTTGGGATCTTTAAGAAACATTTCCCACTATCAATGTCCTATTTCAAAAAGGTATGAAAAGCAAAAAAGACAAAGAGAGAGGTTCTTACAGTGGTGACTCCTTGGACCTGAGCTGTGGTTCCATCTGGAAGGGTGATGATGGGATTGTTTGGGTCCACCTGGATTATAGATAGTGTTCCATCTGGGTTGCTAATGGTTTGTACTACTGTTGATGTGTAATGCACTCCAGATGCATCCTGAACTGTCATGCGAGCTGGCTGAACTGTCCCAGTTACATGGCCACTAGATATACTACGTGAGACTTTGGGCTGCTTTGTTGGTGGGACATGAGATTTTGCATCTTCTTCTTCATTGAAGGATGGCAACAGATCTTCTCTCCCATGGTATTTGTAGCAATTGATGACTATTTGCCGCAGGGCATGTGTCCATGAGACCTACAATCAATTTCAGGAGGACTTGACACATGAAGCTACTCAGTTAGCTTCTAACAAAAAAATACAGGGGTGAATAAGCAAAAGGAAGTTAACTACTGCAAGCTTACTCTCTTCCAGTATGAAATTCTTCCTCTTTCATAATATAAATGCATGTCCAGTCAAGTCTGAATTGGGCTAGTTATTACCAGAAATAATATGTTACACATATTATATTACTTTTTTTGCACATGACTCAAGGTGTGGAACATTCCAGCTTAAATATTACATCTAGTGTTTAACATTCACTGGTACCTGTAACACCTTCACTGTGGGACTACAAGTGTCACTTAATTTCATGACTTGGCTTATTATTCCTTTTCATTCCATTTCACTACTGTCACTTTAAAATAATTTTCAAACTTATTGCCCATACAGGGTGATCAATAAATTGGTTTAGCAACCAGATGTATCAGCATCTATGGATCAGATGACCTTGAATTTAATTTAAACAGTTCACTAACCTACAGGGAAAAGGATAATGTTCCAAACATCTTCACCTATTGTACACCATACATGGATTGGAATGGCTTCCAAGAGAGGACATGATAGAGGAAAATGGCACACATTTTGAACAATCCATCATTAGGGTCTATCCCAACCTAGGTGATGTCAAATATCATCACCCATACAGATGATGCAGTTGGAGCCATAAGCTTTCCCTGTGTGGTAAACTGCTCCATCAATAGTTGCTGAGATAGGTATCTTTGAGTAGCTAAACCAATTTAATGAAAATCCTGTATATTGGCCTAGATTAACTCTTGCAGCACTATGACTGTACCTGAAGAGCTATAGGTTGGCTAGACATTTAAAAACCCAGTACCAAAAGGGATAAAGAGTTGCATTGAAATGCCATGTTAAGAATTACACTCCCAAGCTGAGCAGCTACAAATACCCATACATTTCAGCTGAAGATACCATTGAAATATAGAAACATTGCAACAGGCTTGTCAAGGCCTATACCTGACAGTATTCATAAATACAAAGGCTAATGGTAGATTTGTCCATTTCTGGAGCTCAAAACTTCCAGTACAAATATTCTACTGATTACTGATTCTGACAACAGAACCTTTATGACTCAAATGGCCATATGCACAAAACAAATCACATGAAAAATTAAAATGCATTAACATCTAATGATATGAATAATTTTGGGCTTAAGATTCAGGGGCCATATTCACGAAACATTCTTATGAACTTTTTCTTCGTAAGAAGAGAAAAGTTCGTAAGTGGTATTCATGAAGCATTTTTGCGTAAGATGTTCGTACGATCTTCGTACGCAGTTCGTAAGAATGCTTCTCAATTTTGGTATTCACGAAAGCACAAAAGTTCGTATCTTTCTTCGTAAGTCTACGAATGGTCCAGAGGTATCGTAAGTGGCCACAATGACGATGTCGAGGGATCTGTGGAATTCTCTTTCATTGGGTGTCTCAATTAAGCTAAGGTTCATTCACACTTGGCAGTTAACAGGATATATGCTCACAGGATTCACAAGATTTTGTCTCGGAGGTTATGAGGTTATTCACATTCATGCAGTGTCAGAAAAGTCTTTTCTCTCTTTTCCTTGAGCGGAAAATTGAAAAATCTTATTGAAAATTCTTTTGAGATCGGACAGCGGGAAAGATCTACCACCAGTCCTGCCACTCTACCTGAGAAACTTAACTCCTTTCGCCTTTGCACGTCACTTCAGGTCCATGAATTAATTATACTTTTTAGCAGTTCTCCGTACAGAGGAGAGACCGCTCACTGCCTCAGTCTCTAAATCCTATGCTTGCAATTTCATTTTTCCTACAACGCTTGAGCTGAAATGTATGGGTATTTGTAGCTGCTCAGCTTGGGAGTGTAATTCTTAACATGGCATTTCAATGCAACTCTTTATCCCTTTTGGTACTGGGTTTTTAAATGTCTANATGGGGACTCGTGAGTCATGCTGCCAGCGTGAGAACCACGTTGTTTTCTACTCAGCAATTGGTTTGGTAGCTCCCGAGCTCGGTTATGATTGGCTGGCTCATTATCATCGCTACGAAGTTTCATGAATACCAACAGTGTTCGTAAGAATGAGACGAGGACTTACAAAGTTTCGTGAATACCAAAGATACGAAGTTTGTAAGAATATCACATTCTTACTAAGTTTTCGTGAATACGGCCCCAGGACTTGGGTTTAGGATTAAAATCAGAAGAATGTTTTCTGCTCATCAGCAGTAAACTGTAATATGGACTGGTGTCCCTAAATATAGGTCAAACTAAGACTCAACTTTTTTAATGGTTTCTGTTCCCTTGCAGTGCCACAGAGCATATTTTGTTCATTTGAGGTAAGGTGAAATCGAAGAGGAAGGAATCACTGTTAATCACATATGTCATTTATCCCTTTTCACCAACCTTCTGTTTCTGCTCTTCAGTGCGAGCATCCATGCGGACGTTGGCCCAAGGGAGATCCTTGGGCCACCAGGGTGGTTTGGTAGTTTCTTTGCCCCATCCTGGCTTTCCTCGCCCTAGCATCAAGTGAGAAAAAAATCCAGTAATGTTTCCGGAAGGCAACAGGGACCGAGAAGATTGTGGATTTTTACCAGTGGAAAACTTGAGCATGAGGGGGATGAAGGCCCGAAGCTGGGCCTGTGTCATTTTCTCTACAGGGGTAGGGATGCCCTCAATGACAAGAGGAGGAAGCTCATGTCTTGAGGGGTCCTCTTGGGGTGGAGGTGGAGCCTGCTGTTGCAGGGCCACTTCCAAGTCATGCATGATCACACTTGACAGCCCTCGCAACTGCATTTATAATATTAATCGACTAACCAACAATATCCATAATCATATACAAATGACACTGCAGTTTGAATTTATGCACCTCATAACCATGTATATATGAGACTCCTAAAACTATATAAATCTGAATGTTGCTATTTTATAGCTAACTAGTGAGTTTGTTTTCCCTTTGGGCAAACAAACTCACTAAGGTATCCCAGGGGGTCTGAATTTTGAAACACCACCTAGCCTATGACCATTCTTGGACCAAATGAGTAAGCCATGCAAATTTTGGTGAGACTGGGATAAGAGGCAAGGTCGTGCATAAAGGACAGCCACACAAACACTCTGAAAATAGTACAGATGTTTCTACTTTTTTTTTTTTTTGGGGGGGGGGGGGGGGGGGGGGGGGGCACAATAAATTNTTTGTGGGGGGGGGGGGGGGGGGGGGGGGGGGAGGCATCGAGAATTGCAAAATTAAAATGTTTGATCATTTTTTCCTACACCTAAATGTAGGGGATGGTCTAGAATGCAACTTTCTCTTTTAAGAGTCAAATGTTAAACATTTTACAAAATTAAATCAGGAAAAAATCTCTCACTACACTACATCATGAAAATGTAGCATTGTCTGTTCCTGATCAAAATTATTGAATATGTAATCCCCCTGACAATTTTATTAAAGGTAACCATAGGGTGCTTAACTATACTTGTCATTTAGGTGCCATCAGTGAAGGGAGAATCTGTAGGGTTGCTAGATTCTATCAGTGGTGTAAGCTGCTTACAGGGAGCTTATTCTAAAGGGGATGGACAAATATTATGTAGAGGGTGGCCCAGAAACAATGACCCATTTTCAAAGTGACACTGTAGCCTAACAGATGGAGATTGAGAGCAGCAATTTCCCAGGCATGTAGTCTGGTTCATGTAATTAATATCTTTTTTTTCTATTTCCCTAGGTAAGACATTGAGATGAACAGATGGAGAGTCCCTCAGCATGCCAAAATAGTGGAACCGTACTTTGAACACAAGTCAATTGTGTTAACACAACGTGCCTTTAGAAACCACTTCAATCTCTGTTTTGCTCCATCAAGCAAATCTGTGTGACATCATGTTGCTAACTTCTGTTCAATAGGTTTTGTTGCTGATGTGCGACCTTCTGGGAGGCCAAGGAGTGTCCAAATGCCAGTAAACAGAGCCAAGGTTGAAGCAGCAATCTTACAGAGTCCTACACGTTCTATGCACTGCCTAGCACCAACAGTCAGCATCTGCAGAACCTCAACACAACGCTTACTGCATGATGCATACCGTTAGGTGTTGGCTATGGATTGGTTTCTCATGCAAAAGGTGAGGATTTTCTGTTGCCCAAAACCTGCAATTCTACTTATTAACAGTCCCTGTCAATTAAAAATGAGCTTCATCGCTCATCAGCAAGTGGTTCAGAAATTGTTGGTCCTGGGCAACTTTATTGAGAATAAATTGAAAGACTTCGACACACTTATTCTTGTCTAGAGGGTGTAACTTCTGTATCATTTGAATCTTTTTTGTAAGGGAAGATGTGTGCATCATGCAGTAAGCATGGTGTTGAGGTTCTGCTGATGCTGACTTTTGCTAGGCAGTGCATAGAATGTGTAGGACTCTAAGATTACTGCTTCAACCTCAGCTCTGTTTACTGGTGTTTGGATACTCCTTGGCCTCCCAGAAGGTTGCAGATCATTCTCTTGAACAGAAGTTAGCAACACAACATCACAGATTTGCTTGATGGCGCAATATGGAGATTGAAGTGGTTTATAAATGCACGTTGTGCTAACACTTGTGTTCAAAGTGCAGTTCCATAATTTTTGTATGCTGAAGGACTCTCCACCTGTTCATCTCAATGTCTTACCTAGGGAAATAGAAAAAAAAAAGATATTAATTATATAAACCAGACTACATGCCTGGGAAATTGCTGCTCTCTGTCTCCATCCGTTAGGCCAGTGTCACTTTGAAAATGGGTCATTGTTTCTGGGCCATCCTGTATGAAAGTCATACAACCCTCTGACAACCTTATCCATACATAAAACCCTAGTGAGAAAAAATAAGAACAGAATAGGAGAAAAATCCTGGAATTTATTGCCCGTCTAATCTGTCAAGCTCACTGGCCTCCTTTATAAGAAGGTATGTGAGAATTTTGTTCAGAAATGGACTGTAGGTGGATTTCTAATCTGGCAATAGCAAACATGCAAAATCTACTCTGAAATGAGTTTGGATTTTATTATAGGATTCATGGATCAAAAGCTTCCTTTCACTACAAAAACTTTTGATAAATTTTTACTCACCACATCTTCCAGAGGCTTAGCTCCAAAGATCTTGAAATTGCACTGAGCAGGCTTTCCTGGTGTAGCAACAACAACACAAGCCTGCTGTCCCACTCGAGTTGTGAATTCATCCAAGGTTTGCTGCAGCATGCCAATTCATTCATATTCAATGTGTCACATCAGGTATACATCGATGATGCATGTATCCTTACCCGCAACCTCTTTATCAGTCGAGTCTGTTGGCGCTTGCGAATAGAAGGGTTAGTCTCAAAGTAATGTGGTCTTTTCCTTTTTTTAGCTGAAGCAATTGCAGCTGCTGCTGCCATTCCAACTGGACCTACATCAGACATAAATCATGGAATATTTGTATGTATCTTTCATCTTTTTTTGCAGCACTCACATAGCCTTTGCACATCAATAAAAAACAAAATCCATTCCATGCCAAACAAAACACAAACTGTAACTAAAAGTCCTAAAAAAAATTCTCATTTTCCCTGCACTACTTGCAATTGCAGCATACTAGTTGTCAAAAGGACTTCAAACATTGTCTCTCCCATGAACTCCAGATGTCATGTACATAAACTGATCAATTAAAATTTGAGAAATATGCAATTGACAAAGCTTCACTTGTTAATGTTAAAAAATTTGCATTAGTCTTACCTGTCATATACTCCAAAGGTCCTCCCAAATCCTTAAGCAGAAACTTCCTATTAATAGCTTCTGAATTTTGCATGTTTGTTAGACTCTTGAGTGTATCAGCTATTACTCTAAAGGGGTTAATAAAAGACAGCTTAACATAGCTCCTGCAAGTAGAACAATTGTGATGTGGTGGGTGAACAAGGGATAAACAATAGTTTAGAGCAGTGGTGCCCAACCCGCGGCCCGTGAAGCCCTAACCCACAATAAATACCCTTAGGTTTCCTTAAAATAGTCTCCTTCAATACTGATGACTGGCCCGCGATGGCTGCGGCAGTGAGCTATGTGGCCCCTTAGCCAAAAAGGTTGGGCACCACTGGTTTAGAGAGTATCATGTGTAAGCTCTGCACAACTATATCTTTTGCAAAAAGGAAATACATCAGTATTTTCATTCACAAGAACTTACACATCTACCATTACAGAGGGAAAAGAAGAGACATTTTGCTATCTGTCTAAATGCTTTGGACTGGATCCCTAGATTTAAGAAGGTCCTACTCCCTCTCTCTACTCTACTAAGCAGGATCTTTCTGCAGTCATAGGCATTGCATGAGCTAGCATGAGTATCTGCAGACCATGGGAGAAATTTCAATCTCTGTGCACAACAAAGTAGATGAAAATAGGCACTGAAAAAAAGGGTGTCCCAGAAACACCTCCACATGTTCAAATGAGTATAACACAAAAGGGAAAGAAACAAAATTGAATAATAATATACTGCATTGAATGTTCCCTCCTCAATTAAAAGATATACTAATGAAACCTGTTCAGGCATTGATGTTCCAATGTGGCATCCTTTCAAAGTAACCCCTTTCTGCTTTGAGCTTCAAGACCTTGTGAGGATTATCATGAGTTCCCTGCAATACCAGCTCTTCTTTTTCCAGCAGGATAGTGCCCCACCATATTACTGCCTAGATGCTCACAACGTTGCAAGCAAACATTTACCTGGACAGTGGATTGGTCACAGAGTGCCCCATGTGTGGCCAGCATGGTCACCTGATTTGACAGTTATTGCTTTTTAGTTGTGGAGGTATCTGAAGGAGATGGTTGTCACCAAACCACATAATGTCCCAGATCTCATTACAGCCATACACAACTGCATAGCCAATATTCCTCCGGCTATGGTAAGAAAAACAATGGATGATTTTTCCCATCAATGTCAGATGTGCTCTGATGCAGAAGGGGGTTACTTCAAATGGATCTCACATTTAAATGTCAATGCCCTTTCAGATTTCCATAGTAAAACTTTTAGTTAAGGATGGAATCTTCCATACAGCATAAAATGCTTCAATGTTGTTTCCTTACCTTTTGTGCTCCATTCATTCAAACATATTTCTTGCACACCCTGTATATTCATAAATCCAAAGTATGAAAATTTTGAAAAGAATATGCAGTACCATGAGAATTTCTACTTACAGTCTCAGCATGCCATCCATTTTGTTTGTTTTTTTTTTTACCTGACAAAAATTAGAGCAGATACGCTAAATGCACACAAGCTAGAGCATGCACTGTACAATAGCTACTTTCTCCAAAGACAACACATAGCATTCAACAAAAACTGACTGAAAGAAACATTTCTCACCCTTCAAGAAGGGAGTCTCATTATTCTTAAAACAATTATTGTGAATGATGAGAAACAGAACTTAGGGATTAAAAAAAAGAACAAAAAAGGAACACAACACACCTGACCAGCACAAGGATTCGTTTGATATACCTGCTGCCGCCAGTTGGGCAGTCACCTCGTCACTTGTGACAGCGTTGGCCATCATGTCAGAATCTTCTTCATATGCATTGGAGGAGTCAGGAGACGTTGGCATTTCCTCATCTTCGTCTTCGTCGTCTGAGTGACCTGTTCCAATGTGATTGATGTCCGACGTTATGGCCGTTGACGTGATTGTCAACGTCGGTGCTTCGCTCGTCGAGTTCATATTTGTCACAGGAACCATTGGCTGCATTCAGGTACAATTCCTCAAGAAGCTGCAGAGAAAAGAATTGTAAATCTATGCATAAGCTCTGCAAAAGCAAGAATCAAGAAGGAAATCACAAAATTTCCGTCTTCACATACTTTTACAATTTGGATAAATAACCAGTTACTGCTGAAAGTTCACCAGCAAAAAAAAAGGGGGAAGGAAAGGAGAGAGGGAAAGACAGACACCGGTTTGACACTTTTTTATTCTTTCTCTCTCTCTCCTCACCTTCCACCCTCCTGACCTTGCTGTCATTCCAAAGTGAGATGAAGAAGAAAACAGCTTTACAATTCTTAGAAGAACCTCACAAATGGGTGAAGTGATATATGGACAAACTCTTCATAGAGGGCTATCCAAAGGCTTTTTGCAAAATGAGCTTCCCCATTGCAAGCAGACCCCTAATGCATTATAACTAAGAAGATACAGGGATGTTAAACATGTCTACAGGTAGTTACACATTAAAACTAGTCCCTCATCATAAGCAAACTCATTAATATATCTTTTTTGTACCTGTCATAATGAGAAGAGGTAGAGACCCTTCCACTGCCTACTTCATATAGAGCTCGATAATTGCATTATGACAGAGCAGAACAGAATGGTGTGAATAAGATTGACATCTTGGCTTAAAGGGCTTTTCTCTTTTCCTTTCCCTTTCAAAACAAAAACAGGTGAGGGTCTAGTTAGAAATTACCAACACCAAAAGCAATACAGTCATCCCTTGGCATGGGATGTTGACCAGTCATACTGGCTATATATGACAACAAGGCCAACCTATTTTTGAGCTTGACCATTATTGATAGTATATGATCAAAAATGACTAATGGATCTAATGATAATGATTGGATTTGATCAGTCAACATCCATTCCTCATATCCTGTGATGCATTCATGGATGAGCTCTTGCATCTATTGCGAGTGCCAAGATGTTCGGCATGATCATGAGGTGTTGGTCTAGTTCTGACCACTCTACTGAGACAGTTTAAGATTTTCCAGAAATCCAAAGGGCTTAACTTTAGAATAAGTTGACCCATTGGAGATGCTCATTTAACCCCTATACACTTTTCACATTATGAAATGCATAATTTTAATTAAGAATCATAAATGTCAGGAATCCTCATGGTTTCTGCCTCACATATGCCATCATTTCACCATTTTCATGCATTATTTTCAAATTTTTTATTTATTTTCCCTCAATTTAAAAGTATTCAATTATATTTGGACTTTATATGAGTGAGTGATACAAGATAAAATGGACCTAGAATCCTGGAAAAGACCAACTGAACAAACTGTATGCCTTGAAATTAGAAATCCAATGTAATTCTGAATAGTTTGCTTCTAGTTTGCTTCTTGATGGAATTAAGCTTTTGAATTCGAGGGGTTGAGCATTGTGCAGACAAGGAGAAGTGAGGTTAATGGGGGAACTTGGTTGGAATATTAATAGGGAGATGTGTCGGCAAGCGAGAAAGCGGGAGGGTCCCTAATAAGGCCCAGCCTAGACCAGGGCATTCAGTCTCAACTCCCCTTCCCCCAAAGGGGGATGAGAGAGGAAGAAGCTGGCTTCATCGGAAAATCGATACCGAACCAAATATGGCTTCCCACGTTGTCCGACTTCCCTCCGCCAACCCTCACATGTTAAATGATGAAGCTGTCAAAATAAAGCTGAGCTTCAATGTCCTCAAATGACGCTAGGGGAACACTTACGAGGACTGCCCCGAGGGCATCATACTGAACAGGGTGAACGAGAGCGGTCATGTCGTGGGCCTAGTTAGGTGAAAGGTGAAGCGCCGGTGTTCCTCGTGACCTTCACGCCTGCACGAGGGAGGATCTTAGATCTTAATGGATACACGGGAGCTGACAGGACGTCTAGTGAAAAGGCTAGTATTTCGCAAGTCAGTAGACTGGGCAAGCCCAGAGGAAAATTTGGACACTACGGCTGCGTATGTACGTTCCTTACGCACCTGCGTCAGTCGAGGTTTCTCCAGTCGACGATCAAGCTATGACGGCGTTTCACCAGTGCTTTTTAATCCCTCATCGCCAACCTCCTTCTTCGTTTCGCAATCCACGTTACGAGTCCTTCCAAAGAAGATCCCACTGGTCAGTATCACAGAAAGATTCCATTTGTACAACAGCCTCACTGGGTAGAACCCTCGTGTCCTTTTTCACTCTCAACCTATCGATTCTTCCCCAGTCCCTTTATATGCCCAGTGAGTCTGCGCAATTCCAAGGACAGCAGACGAAATTCGCGTCTCGGATCTCAAAAATGCCTTAAAAGTTCGAAAGGCTCACCGTTGGTAATCGTGAATCCGAAGAAGTAGGCCCCAGTACGGAAAAAACAAGAGGAAAAAAGAAGGGAAAACGATGAAAAGAGCCGTATGGCGTGGGATGAAGGCTTGCGAGGATGAGATGCAGGAGAATATGGCTGAAATCCTCACGTCCCAGCCGTGACGTCATGCAATAGCTAGCGACATCTGTCGTCTATATCTATGGAGTCAACGTGATAATCACGCGTTTGAATTTCTGTTCTATTGTCTTCTGTCTCTCCGTGCAATAATGGAAGTTTAACTTTATACCGACTCTACCATGGGTTTAATCAATTGTTCAACAGAGTCGCCATGGGTAATGAGGTTTCATGCATTAACCTAGCAGAACATGTAATAGGCACGTCTACGTGACATTTCGCCGAAATTAAACAGAGTGAAAATTTCCACTTCTAAGGTTGGCTTATTTGCCATTCTCTCAGGTCTTGTTGGTACCATGTAACCCCAGGCCTAGGTCTTACGCCTCTGACTGGCACCGAAGTTCGACTCCGTCCAGTTCAAATTATCACCTTTCTTATCTTAGGTGTATCCTTATCTTATCTTAGGTGTATCCCTTCAAAGCGATAGTGGTCAAATGGGCTGGCCAAACTGAACATTAAACCTAACTTTTATTGTTTGTGCTTCAGGCCTAATACTAGCTGAGAACATGTCTCATAGAAGCCTTCAAATCTTGAGTAGCTTCTTGGGAGCACCCCTCAACAATGGCATTGGACGATACATATGCCAACTTCAGAGAATCACTATCAAATTTTGCAAGGAACATGGAGCGAGTAAAGGAGTGAGGGACTTTATAGAGAAGGACCTTGTGAACTTTGCAAGAGAAAATCCAGGGATTGTGGTCTACCTTAAACCAAGACGACATCGATCTCCTGTGTTTTCAGCTGAATATCTCAATGGTAACACACAGTGGATGAATCTACATGAATTCACACGGGAAGAAGTGGTGCAATGGCTGGAGCACATGCGAACCCGATCAGGGGTTAACATTGTACGTCTGAGGAAGCGTTGGCACACAGAATGCCCTTCAATTCAAGGTGTTTGGATGCCATATACTTGGATGCCTCCAGAAGTCAATCATGTCTCTTTCCCCAACAAGGAACTATCCAGTAGTGGGTTTCAAGAGAAATCAGCCACTGACATAGTGAAAGAGATTTTTTCAAGACAGCAAGTGAACCTAGAGAAAGTAGAACAAGATCTTCCTCGGCAGGAAGAGAACAGTAAAGGATGTATGTAGTGACAGATGGGCAGGAAATAAGAGGTAGTACATTGCTTTCTGTGCTTCCAACAGTTGGCTATTTGACATCTATAATACAAGTAGTCTAGTGTGATATTGGCCTTGGTTCAATATTTTTGAAATTTTGTCAATGGTCCAAGCTTTCCAGTTTCTGTTGTGGACTTGGGTCCTTGACACTTGGGAAGTATATTCCATCTATATGATTCCACATCTGGGTGTAACTGGCTACATTGATAATGGCTCGCTGGGCAATAAAGAAGAAAATATTTAGAGAATAGTCTTACTGTAATACTCATAAGAAAGTCTTGTCTTTTGAGGACATGTCAAGTTCCAATGGAACATGTGCGGCTTGAACAGCTATACATGGACATGCTGTTGATGCTTTCTGTGATTGATGCCTTATTCTCATCCTGTATTGATGCATTTAGTGGCCTATTAAATTAAAAAAAAATATTTCCTTGCCTTGATGTCATGACTTTAATTGACAGGTGCATATTTACCTTGCTGTACTTTTCATCAAGGAATGTCCAAATACCTATGTACATCAAAGGTTTTCTTTATCTAGTTTTGTGATGAAGCCTACGTGTTGAAGCATTGGTTATCCATCTTTTACATTTTCCATGAAACTCTGTAATTAATACATTGATATGATTGGTATGTGTGTGCATACTGGTCATTTTGTAGTTCCATGGCAGCTGATGCTATTCAAGTCTTGAAGACAGTTGATCAGTGTCACATTCAAGATATTCAACAGACAATTGACCTTAATGACCCCTATCCCAGTGTCACTGATCGCTACTTTGAAACAAGATTTTGGGCAGATGACAGTGGGGCAGATGAGGACATGCGAGTGCTTTTTCATTCTAATCGTATCTGTGTGGTGACCCTGGCCCCGAGTCATCCCATTCTCCGAGACCAGTTGAAAGTAATCAGAGTTGATTTCCAGGTGAAAGGAGACAAAAACCGTCTTGAGAACAAAGTCAGTGGCAAGGCCAAAAGGGGAGCACAGCTTCTGGAGGAAAATTCTCGGCTCTGCTTTATCCACTGCGAGGGTGACAAGCAGTATTTAGTGAGGAGCCGAGTAAGGGGAAAGCTGGTGGAGGTGAATGAGAAGCTAGTGAATCACCCTGAACTATTGACAGAAAAGCCTGAGAGTGATGGATTTATTGCAATTGCCCTGCCGAAGCTGGGAGAATCGGATGCACAAAAAAAGCAGTTGCTTAACCACGAAGATTATGAGTCAGTCATTGCCTTAAGAAGATTGCATACCCCCAGCTAGCAGATGTTTTTCAGGTGCCTCTCTTCGATTTGGTCAACTGTCCATCCATATGCATGTAGAATGAGTCAGAGGAGCTTCACAACAAGCCTAAGTCAGAAGCCACCTAACATATATATAAAGACAAAAGATTCTGAAGCTTTTCATCGTGTTCATACAGCGATCATGTCAGTTTTGAAGGAAGATCATTACACAATTTATCAACTAGAACTTCCAATGGAAGAAAAACTTGTCTGGAAAGATCACACAAAACTTTTCATATGGCATGATGAGTCTCCTCTGAATTTGTCTACCTGTAAGCCTGCTTTCCAGTTCTGGAAGGAAGGGGGAAATGTATTGCTCAGCCTGTGTTCTTCTCAAAATGAAAAGAGGGTCATATGGAGAGATGAAGAAATGCATCTCTCTTACTTGCCTTCGACAGGGCTGGGAAACTTTGAGTTCCTGAAGGATACTGAAGTTTATGGAAGGAGTGACTCGGGAGAGGCTGTCATTTGGATATCCAAGTCCAATGACACTCATGGAAATATTGCAATGTCAACTGTGAACTTATTTTGTGAGGGAACTGATAACTCTCTGCAGACATTGAAGTCTATTATGCGTGAAACTTTTAATCTCAATTGCAAGGACTCCATCACAGCTGATCATGCATTTTCAAAGGAATCATACCTGCATGTTCTAAGAGGTGAATTCAACTCTTTGGAATTGATAAAAAGTAATTTGTATATGGAAGCAGGAAAGCAGTTGTTGAGAGGCAGTGAAACCTTAACTGTTGAAGGTTCTGAAGTCATTGTGAGTGATGGAGCTCCATCATTTGAAAGCCAGGTATTCTTGAACAGTTTGAAAAAGAGTGAAATGTTTAAGACTGTCATATATTGTGATGTCATATCCTCTACAATGGACTTCTTGAAACTGTACCCACTGGAGCATGGGACCATTATAATTGCTGGTCAGCAGACAAAGGGCAAAGGGCGAGGTGGGAATATCTGGCTTAGTCCCAAGGGTTGTGCCATGTTTTCTCTGCAATTCTGTATTAAAAGGGAGAGTTTCTTCTGGACCTATGTGTCTTTCATCCAACATCTGATGGCTTTGGCATCCATTAAGGCTATTTTGAGCAAACCTGGGTATGAAGAGTTACCATTTAAACTGAAATGGCCAAATGACATTTATTCTGGTCGAGACACAAAACTGGGTGGAGTCATTGTCAACACCACATTGAATGGAAAGATCATGGTTGTGAGTATTGGGTGTGGCATCAATGTAAGCAATGATCATCCAACTGACTGCATTAATAGCCTTATTCACCGAAATGCACCTAAACTACAACCCATCAGTAATGAAGAATTCATTGCTAGGTGTCTAAATTGTTTTGAAGAACTGATGACAGCTTGTGAGTCAGGTCATGTGGAAGCTATTCGTCAAGAATACTATAAGTATTGGCTTCATGGTCAAGACAGAGTGAAAGTGATTCTTTCAAAGAGTTCTTCTATCAAGGAGATGGAAATTTGTGGCATTGATTTATATGGATTTCTGGTTGTAAAAGATTTATCCTCTGGAGAGGAAATGACTGTTCATCCTGATGGCAACAGTTTTGATTTATTGCATGGTCTCATAGCACCCAAGGCATGACTGAATTTTCTGAATGTAATACATTTTTATGTTCCCTGTAACTGGTGTTGATACTTTTTCCACTATGGTGCAGTCTTGAAGTATTTTGGAGTGGCATTTCTTTTGGGATTTTTTTTTTTGTTTGAGATCTAATCCAATTAAACCACTCTATGAAAATTTTCTCACAACTATTGTTGTCTTATATTTCACATTCTATGCTCTTAGACCCACAATTTCCTTCTTCTCCTATGTTTCCTGCTATGATGAAGCCTCCTCTCCTTATGCCTTCTTTTATGTGTGCTTTCTCCACTCCTTAATCCTGGAACCCCTGAGAACAAGATCATTCAAATTGTGTCAATAATCAAATGCAGCAGTGTTTGAATACAAGCAATACCGCATGAAACTGGTGCTCACTGTGTTGGCAGTACCGTCCATGCCATCCAGGCTTGCAATTGCAGCGATTCCCATGGAGACAGTAACCATGGTGACATGGCTTATGACAGGAGTGTTGCTGTGCCATCTTCTTATAATTGGGTGTGATTTCACAGTGGCTACCTTTGAAACCAGGTGGGCACTTGCAGATGTTGGCTCCCCTACATCTTCCTCCATTTAGGCATGGAATTACACATTTGCCTGAAAAATGCACATTGGAATTTCCCTTCTGTTGCTGAAAAGATGCAACAGTCCATCTTGAATGGAACACTTTGGGATGCATTGACAGTCTTATGTCTGATGCACATATATAAGAATATAGACAGGGATGGCTGAGGGCTGAATATGAAATATTTGTAAATAATTGAAGAAAATTTCTAAAGAGGGTGAACAAATAGGAATATAGGAACTCAAAACTTTTGGCTCACTAAGTCTTTATTGAAACTCAAAGCTTGGTAAAGATTGAAATCTGCTGAAATTGAAACTGATGCCTCCCTTTTCTTTTACTTTGTACTAACCTTTTCTTGCACCAATTTTTATATATTATATATATTAACCATTAACTATGAGCTTCTTGTTCATGAAGATGAATGATCTAAAGTTTTTTCTGCAATGATTCTTCTGCTTGGATGAAGGAAGTTTAGAACCCACTGAATTCACAGCGTTCACCATAGTAGCCCTTGCGGCAAGCACAAGTGTCTTTCTGGATGCACTTTCCTCGGTTCAAGCACTTGCGACTGCATATCCCTGCAAGAACACAGGAATATATGTAGATTACAAGCTCCTAAAGGTTTCATTCTTTTTCTAATTATAGGACGAGGCCTTGGGTGGTCCACAATCATGGTTTTGTACAAATCCTTCTCTGGTTTTAATGTGAGCCAGCGATTTCAGTCAACTTTTGCCACCCGTCTTTCTGAGGCCAAGAAAAAGGCCTCAATTGACAAGATCCTTCGAGTTGATCATGCAGGGGAATTGGGAGCTGATCGCATCTATGCAGGACAAGTTGCTGTTCTTGGTATGTTCAAGTATTGTCTGTAATAACTAGAGAGTGGATTTATAAGATTGCTCAAATGTGACCATAAAATATAAGCAAAAAATATAAATGAATGCTTAATTATATATGACCTGAAGCTAAGAAATTCTGGAGCTGACATTTACACAAGACAAATCCATTCAGCATGCATGGGTACATTTACCAGGAAGCAGAACAAATATTTTGCCTTTAAATATGTCCTTTAGTAATCATACTTGGTATGAACTTGAATCCCAGCATCTGTGTGTATTCATAGGAAATACAAGCATTGGGCCAACTCTTCATCATATGTGGGAGCAGGAAAAAGGTCACCGGAAGAAGTTTGAAGAGCTTCTTCCCAAGTATCGTGTGAGACCAACCATAATGGTTCCTCTTTGGAATGTTGCTGGCTTTGTCCTGGGAGCAGGTGTGCTTAGCTATTTTCTTTTTTTTTTTGTAATTTTCTATACCTTTTGAATTTTTTATTACCATACTTATGTAATTGGTTGACATATGCAGGAACAGCTTTCCTTGGGAAAGAGAGTGCAATGGCTTGCACTGTGGCAGTGGAATCAGTCATTGGAGACCATTATAATGATCAGATCAGAGAGCTCATGGCTTTGGATCCTGAGGGTAACAAAGAACTCCTTGAGGTCATCAAGAAATTTCGTGATGAGGAACTGGAGCACCATGACTGTGCCTTGGAAAATGATGCTGAACAGGCCCCATTTTATCGTGTTTTGAGTGAAGTCATAAAAGCTGGTTGCAAAACAGCCATCTTCATATCAAAACATATCTAGTGCCCTTCAAAGTCTTTGTTTTGCCTATTATCTGTGATAAAATTTTGCTTTTTGCTGACAAAAGTTTTCATCTCTAATCCTATGCTTGCAGATTCTGTGCTAAGCTTCAACCATTATCTCTCATCTAATGATATATCAGTGAACATCAGATATAAAAAAATCCTGCTTGCACTTGTAATACCTGATAACCTCTGTGAACTGTGTGCACTGTGGATACAGATGATCTTTTTGCTTCTGAAAAGTTGTCATTTCTAATCATATTTTAATGTATTACTTTTCCAGACAATTGAACTTAATCAAGTCAAGTTTAAATATATAGCAACACAAAATGAAAATTAACTTATCATTGCAATCATCATCTCCTTGGGGCTTGGGCTTCCTGTATGTGTTCAAATGTTATCATTTGTACTGGTATATTGATTGACCAAATTTTTTATCAATTGTCATTTTCAAAATATCTTTTAAAAATGAATACCGGAAAAGTATATCTGGTGGTATATTTTGAATTGCTATATGGCAAATTTTTTAGAGTTTGAATCTCATTGCTTTGGTTAATCCCTGTCGAATGTTTTTGACTTTTTGGGGGAGAACAGTCAAGAGTTCAAATTTATTCTTGCTACAAATGTGTAATCTCATAGTGGTGAAATCACCAAAGTTTTCTTAATTTATGTAAGCTGATCCATCAATTAATGTTTTGCGTTAGAAAAATTCAAAAGAAGTATACTATAGGACTCAATATCTAGAAGAGGTAAGGTTTAAATGCTTCAACATTGTACATCTGTACAGTTCCTTTTTATTTGGATGTTAACAGTTTCCTGTTACTCCTAGTGACATCCTCATTAGGGAGCTGTAGGGTGATAATAAAGAAAATCTTTCTATGAGATAAAGGTGTCTTCGTAGGCCTGGCCAAACTTTGCAAATTAGGTTACCGGTCGTCATGGAAAGGCTATGGAGAGTTGTATTGAGGATAAGGTCTTATTTAGTACTTTTTAGTATTTTTTTGTCACTTAGTCTCAGTCATATATTGCCCCATTACATCATTTACAGGTGGATTTACCTCAAGTGTAAGAATGGTCTGCAGTAGCGTATTTTACGGGGAGGCAGAGCCTGACGCCCTCTTTGAAGTAATTTTCTCCCCTGATATCGTTCGGGTGGGGTTTGGCGCCCCTCCCTGTAGCCCTGCCCCCTCTTACCCTTCAGCCAAAATACACCGCTGATGGTCTCTGTTGGACTATCTCAGAATTCGACTAAAATTGGGCTTGCAGGAAGATTATGGTGAGAATGCAGTATCTTGGTTGTAAGCGAGAATTGTTTGTCTCTACCGTAAACACCGAAAGATCGGGGTTTGGGTATGCCACTGCAATTGGGACAAAAAATAGCTCCCGGCTTTTCAGCATCTCAACTTTTCCATGTTATTGAGCTGATCGGCATAGCCGCGAATGTTAAATATATTCCCTAATTTCTAATGTTAAAGTGAAAAAGAAGAAAATGGGAATCGCAAAACCTCAAAAACAGTTGGTATATTGGTTCGTAGATGTGTGGATCCCTCCTCCCCAAATTTGATGCATGCAGTACGATTCCCGCACAGAGAGTCATGGCATTATTGAAATATTGGTAATTCATCATTTGAACATTTTCCTGCAAAATGGAAGTATTAAGTAAAGCTGTTAGCGCACTTTTATTCACCTTTCTCCTTGCCTTAATTTATCAACTAGGTCAAGGCGTAAGAGCCAGCAAATATTGGTGGTGTGGGCCATTTTTTGCCGTGGTGACAAATTGCAATTTCAAACCTCCGCTTCTCTTACATCATTTGCCGATGATTTTGGCTCAATGCTATTCTCACCATAATATGACTGCTTACCAAATTTAATTAAATTCTAAGACTAGCTTGCTACAAAAAAAAACTTTTAACTCGTAGCTGCCCAAAGACCATCTGTTATCCAGCTTACCAGTTTTGGTATGCGTATGCGAAGGCTCCTTTCTAACGTTTCTAACGTTCTTCTATGGAAGAGGTGGGGGGGTTAGTGTTAATAACCCTGTATATAGGGGACTACAAAAATGAAACATGAAATTTCACTGGGGAACTATTCGTGAAATTCGCTCCAGCGAGAGCAGATATTTACAGGTTAACAGACGGGTTATTCTTTGCCATACCCTGCATATTGTTCGTGCATGCTGGAAAGCCTCGAGTGGAAAATAGCTGCCTAATTCGTGATTGGAAAAAGAGAGGGAGACGTACCTCCCTCGCAGTGACGTCCTTGATACCCAGGAGGACAGGAACAGACTCCTGGGGCAGTGCATGTCCCTCCGTTCATGCACTGGGGATAGCAGAGTGCTGTCATGCAGTACTTTCCCATGTACCCTTCGGGACATTGGCAAAATTTCTCATGATTGCACCAGCCGCCATTGGCACACTTCCTGTCGCACTCTGGGTCAGGGCCAACTGGACTTGCAAGACAGCAATACACTGGACAATACACGTAATGTGACCAGCCATTAATCTTAGACACCATTTCAGCCTCTTCTCTCATGGTAAAACGCAACAAAATCAGAATCATCTTATTCCTCTTTTTTTTGTAGGTATCATTTATCAAGTAGAATAAATTTGTAAAGAATAAAAAAATTGGTCTTTCTATGCAGTTCTATCCGGAATTAGCTCAGTAGATGTTAGATATATGAGATGCACTGTGCCGCTACCGAACGACTGTGCAAATAATTAATTTAGATACAATAGGATTAAAGAAGCTTTTCACTTTTAACTGCGCATTTACATATGCTTCATGAGAGTATCTTAAACATTGTGAATTTCATCTGAAATAAATTCTTACAATAATTATAAGATACATTGCATGTTATTGCAGAGTTTGAGTAAACTTTTTTCGTCGACCAGAAAAAGCGTCAGCCTGGTACCAGGTGTACCCTGTTAAATAAAATTGTCCAAGAAGCATCTCCCATCAAACTCTTGACCAAGTGGGCATATCTGATTCGACAATTCTTATCGAACTACCTTCGTGAAAAATTGAGGACTCTGATGACCCTACATTCATTGAATTTCACTGGTGTCAGTAGAACTGACCGCCAGGGTTTGGAAGAAAGAGCATCTTTGTCAGCCAGGCCTACCGCAAACTTTATATTGTCAACCATACGTGGCTGACGCGGCAGCCAATTCGCGTCTCAACGCAGGTCATCTCAACCATGCGATGAAGCACCTTAGCGATGAAAACGCGCAAAGTCGACTCAGATAGCGACTCGTCCATGTATGAAGGCGCAATGAGACCGGCTGCCCTCGAGACCTGTCCCGAATGCGTCGGACGGTTCAACGGTGAAGTCGACTCGGCACGTTTCCATGCACTCTAGGGGGAAGAAGCACTTCAGGAGGGGGGCAAAGTCTCGTGGAAACGTGTCGTCGTAACTCGAGTCGACTTCATAAAAGTCGGCTTTACATAAAATGGCTTTAAAGAAACCTCGAAGGTAACGCAGTGCAAGGAATGAAAGAGGAGAGGCTTGACCTGATTGCACGGTTGAGCTTGGTTTGATCAAAGGTTGCTCCAATAAATAGGAAGGTTCTTTGGAAGGGTGAGAATGTCGCGATGCTTGGATTCGTAGGAATCAACTGTTAAGAATACGTCTGTTCTATGTCTTTAATGCTATATTCTATGTCTTTGATATTCCTGAAAGTTGTCACATGTTCTAATAGGAGTGAGAGCCAGATAGAAGCAAATCTTTTCTGGTGTGCTTTTTTAAACTTGCTTTGCAAATTATAATCGCATAAATGATGCCAGAGTATATCATTTGTGTTTTAAACATATATTATTGAGATGCGCGATTTGGCCTAAGACAGCATCGTCCTAACCGACGCCGCATCTAATTTTTTGCTTTCAGGATTATAAGGAATTAATTAAGGGAGAAAGGTGAAGATTACGTGACTAAACTTATATACAGTACACGCATACGCATCGCCAAAAACAACACCAAGGCATCAAATTATAACGTCCATAAAACCCTTGACGCATGGGATCATCCTCGTGTCTGTCCAGACGAACGGAACAGTGCAGATTATCGTACATCTTAAAGGAAAATTGTTTTATATGTCTAATGATACGTAGCTTACACGATTCAGAGCATTCCTTTCGGAGTCTTAGGCGGAGCGGGGTGCCAGGCAAGGACTTCCCTCGTCGGGTCTGAATCATGAGGCCGATTCCGAACGACGCAATCCCACTCACGTTCCCCGAACACGGCAAATACAACGTGAACACTGAGAGAGAGGGTGATACGCATATTAAATCGTCCTGCATTCCTCGGCCGAGACGTGAAAGCGAAAGAATGAATTTACTCTGGGGTTTCTTGGGTACTTCTCCCTTGGTCTCCACGGAGATGAAGGGACTCTGGAGAATGTCCTCGTTGAAGGACTGAAGTCGGTCGAAATTATATTCGTACTTCCTCTTCCCGCTCTTCCACGTGAAGTTGACGTAACTCACGTCCGAAGGGATGATGGGCAGATATTCCTCAAAGTTTGGGTCCAAGATGTACGGCAGGACGTGCCCGTCCGCGATCGCGAAGATCTCCATTCGCAGACCTGAAAATCACAAAGCAAAAGCTCTTCGTGAATCTTGAGCAGCCGGTTCGGCTGTGATTGCTTTCATCGCGAAGCTTTTTCCTGCCGACCCGAATCAAAATTCAGCCTCTGGATTGAGTTTAGCCAACCCGAAGTCAAGACCAGGCATAAGCTTCCCCATGGAATGTGACGGAATCCCTAAACCCTGACCTTACTGTGCGTGAAAACCCATTCCCGTCTTGGATGGTAACTAACTTGGGTAGAAGCACTTCCAGACAAAAACTAGTCCGCTATCATCTTAAATTGTTCTAAAGTTTAAAACAATTTTCCGATTTTTTTCCTGTTTTTCTGTAGAAATCGAATCACCTCGGGGACCTGATAATCTTGCTTCTTACAAATCTTGTTTAATTCAAACAACCTTGGTGTAGCATCTCCTTTTTTCTATAATTTCCACCTTTTCCCAGTAACATTGAAATGAACTTCATGTTACCTTGGAGGTAACAGTAGCCAAATTCATTTTCTTTCGCCATGGTGTAAGCTTCAGCCAGTGATTTCTAACTTAGTTGCTTTTAAATTGAAAATTTTCTCAACACCACCAATTCCTGCATATAAGCGTTGATCTTTGCAAAAGATTTCAAGTCCCATGAAATTTGATGAAATTCAATCAGTATCGTGACTAAAAAAAAAAGAAAATCCGGAGGAAATATTGAGTGTATGTCTCCGCCGCGATAGGAGATTGACAATTTTGAAGCACTTATTTTTATGTCAAGGGACTCGATTAACGAACACGATTCGTTTCTAACATTAACTTTTTGCGCAAGAATAAACCCGGCCGGAGAAAGAGAAGATTTGTGACACCCGGTGTAATGGCCAGGTGTAATGGCCAGGTGGATGAAGAGAGGAAAGAAGAATGCGGAGGAACCCATGCTCAGACAAGATCGTGAGATGACATTTGACAGTGGAATGGCAAGCTTCGGATAGAGGACAGGTATTTATGAAAGAAAGACAGTGCAGGTATTTACGATGAGGAACAGGTGGATGGATCTCCTTTGTCTCTCTCTATCCAAACCGGTTTCCTCATCAGTCATCATTCATATCCCTCATCCACGTTCCCAAAAGCACTCATCCACTCCAGCTGCTCTCAACTGCGATGAATTGGAATATGGTCTCGAATGAATTAACCCCCGACATCAGAGATTCTACTGCGTCTTGGATGAGATTTTTTCTCTCTCTCGTCCAACCGGCATGGAAGAACGGTTTCGCTTGCAGCACGCCTGTTCTACGAATGCCATTCTAAGTACTCGTGGAATGCCAACAGGGGTACTAGACAACAGATGTGAACCGCACGTGTAGAAACTCACATGTATATGTATCATCACATCTTCGTCGCTGTGGATGGAAGCCCAGACCTTCCCGGGCGTAAGATTGATTTCCCGAAACGGGCTGTTATGGCATTTTCTTTTCTTTTTTCCGAAAGAGACAAGTAGTGGTATTTATTTCGGATCGGAACTCTAAAAGGGATACGACAAGAGAAGTACGCGTCAGATGATCATGATCATAACCCGTTCCACTCATGGAATGGGTACACTTCCAGGTTTCGTCGACAAAGGGATTTAACTTCCGAGCGCTTTTGGAATTCCATAAAAATCGCTGAGACACTGAGACACCACTACTAATGGTATAGTGGTAATCAATGAATTAGTGAGAGAAAGGAGAAAAGAAACCGTAAGGTTCGGCGGGAACCAACTCACACTTCCCGCATGTTCCTACATTTCTAAAACTTATCGCACGAGTCATGAACGACTCAAATATGCATAAAATCATGCTTGCGGCAACGCTGCCGCGATCCTATTCGCTTGTGGAATCTCACTTGAATTGCTTCGGAGAGAGAAATCTCCTGTGTTGCGCCGGTTCGAAAAGGGCAGAGTTGCGAAATTGCGACCCAGGGACTCACCGGAGAAGAGTTTCACCTGATTCTCATCGATCCAGAGGGAGAGATCTTCCACTTTCCTCCGATGCCGCGTCTTCCCGTGACCGAGAGCGAGGAGAAAGAAGATGGACACAGACACGAGGAAGGGGCACTTATTCAGGTACTTAGTGGTGCTCATCGTGACCCTCCATAATCCCTCGGCGCACTGACACGCACACGCGGCACACACTCCAGTACTCCTTCTTTCAGGGACGCCCCCTTCATTTTTTTTTATTTATTCCCCCTTCGCTTCACTTTTCTCTAATGCACGGCCAGTGTTTACATTACTGAACTAATGGAATATCAGGGGGAGATAGAAAAAAAAAACTGGTCTTCGTCGGATAAGGCACGAATGCGCGTGATGGCCTGTTCATGTCTTCGGCCTTTGTTCATGCCGACTCCATCACGAAGATATGCAACGATGCAAATTTTTCCTTTCTTCTTTTTTCACTTCGAGGTCATCAAACTCGGATTTTTCACGAACTCACTCGCACAAACGAAGGGAGTACCGAGAGAGTACGGGCTCTGTCCAGGGTTCACGACGGAATAAAACCAGACAGAGGGCCGTTGCCCCTGTACTGCAGGGTCTTATTGTACCGTATAATGCCTCAGTGTAATTAAGATCGAGATATGCCCTCCATCCGATAAGTTTTATTGACTCGTCTGACGGTGAGGGAGAAAAAAAAAAGACAAAGCGACGGAAAGTTATACGACTGTCTTCGTTCCTTCCCCCACGTGTTCATTAACGCTGCGGGTACAATAAAAATTGCCACGAAGCAAGACAAAGACCATCGCGCTAGAAATTCCGTTATTTCTTTTATGACGAATGCGGGGTATATGGAGATTAAAAAGTGGCGTGACTGCAACGAGTCTCAGCAGCACCAGACAGGACAAAAAAAAACTTTTCTGGTTCTTAGATCGGCATGCGGAAAATCGAGAAGGGTAGACATCGGGTAGACAGTCCCATCTCGCGAACCCTTTCATCATGTGGGTGGCACTTGCACAATGTACAAAGTATGAATAAATGGATATCCATATATGTCCACATGCATCCGAATATGCTCGTACTGTATATGGGTTTCTCCGATCGCGAATCTTCTTCCGAAAAGGAAACGACCGATTCGCAAGATATATTACACTATAATATGAAGGACCGGAGGAACGTTCAGGTGGGTTCGCAGAAAAGCTGCCCGTTTTTGTGTTCCGTGAGGCAAAGAGAGCAAAGCTCACTTAAATTTCTGCAGGTAAAAGTAATGAAATTCGTGAATAATTGAATAAGTGAACGGGTTTTGGAAAAAAAAAAAACTCGAAGGTTTTGGGCCGATTGCATGAACGATGTTTATTTTAGACATTGATTATCGATAGTCATTGTTTAAACATTGTCTACGAAAACATCTGTTGACCGCTGTCTACTTTCGATTGCGTGAACGATCCGTAAGCCATGTTTTCATAGCCGATGGCTAAACACCCCTCATGGTATATACACTTAGGGCCGATTGCATGAACGATTTTTTCCCGATGTTTTTCGAAAGTCATCGGTTAACCGATGTCTAAGGCCAAAAATGGATTGCATGAACGCTATCTTCCTTTAACCATCGTCTAACAGTAGCTGAAAAAGGTGTCGTTTCCAGACAAGGGATGGGGCATGTTTTGTCGATATTTATGCCAGCTTTCGTGTACCATCTCCATGAGTATAGCGCTGCAGTGCACTGGTGAAGCACAATGGATTCTGTTTATGGATCCGCTCGATAACGACGATGTGCTCTCGTCGTCGCATGGGAGGAATAAACATATACCTGTATGTTCTGGGCTTAATCCCTTTCAAGAATATGTCGATTAGAACTTCCGCGTGAGATACCAATTTGGAAAGGGATCAGGGTATGATGTCGACCTGCTTCGCGCTGAACTCGAATGGAACGAAGATCGTGGAAGGGATCCCTTAACTTTACATCGACAGATAAGAGCAATCACTGTTCGTGTGCAATGAATCGTGATTTGTTCAAGTACCCATCCCCTGAATAATTAATTAATATGACTCGAAAGTAAAGAGAGTATCGTGAAAGCCCTTCGATTTGCATGTTGTGCTGACCCTTCGATTTTATGTGGCGTCGATTCCTAGAAATGGAATGGCGCAAGCCATTGCCCATTTACATTGCTCATTACATTCCTAGGAGGAAAAACGGAGTAGTTGTACGAAGATAATTATTTGATATTGTCAGATTTCCAGGAGTGATCGGTGTCATCGACAACTGTCGTACTCGAATAGAATGCCCAGACAACTTTAATCAATCGCAAATGCTTCTATTTCATCGATGTCCAAGCAGTGCGCGATGCGGAAGGGATTATTACTGAATTAGTCATCACGTGACCAGGATCCACACACAATTCTCGAATACACTCATTTTGCAAT